GATTTACGAGCAGACAATGCCACCTTTTAATGCTTCACTGACTCCCTCTCCTTGTGGAGATTTGGGCTGAAGTATCATTTTTTTGTGTGCTTTCCACTTCAAAATTACACCAAAGACTTCAAATTGGCCAATAAGCCCCTGCGTTTTGTTATTTGGCCGCGTTTATGTCTTAAGACGCGTTGCATATCTCTTTGTAATCCTGTTTTGACAAGTGCTCGATCACTAACAGGTTATTGTTCTTATTACGCAGCAGCACTATCAATTTGCATCCTAAGTTTTGATTGATTGATTATTGTGCTTTTGATGAAAAATGTCCCCTGGAAACTTTAAGACATAACATTTTGACAGTGTTTCTCCCGTTTCTTGCCGCAGTGCACGGTCTATCCGCCAGCTCTCAGGACTCGGCCAAGTCCCCGGAGCCGTCCGCGGACGACGAATCGCCGGACAACGACAAGGAAACTTCCAGCAGCGGCGGCAGCGACTCCGGCAAGAAGCGGAAAAGGAGGGTGTTGTTTTCCAAGGCGCAGACCTACGAGCTGGAGCGCCGCTTCAGGCAGCAGAGGTACCTGTCCGCCCCGGAGAGGGAGCACCTGGCCAGCCTGATCCGCCTCACCCCGACCCAAGTGAAGATCTGGTTCCAGAACCACCGGTATAAGATGAAGAGAGCCCGGGCCGAGAAAGGTATGGAAGTGACCCATCTCCCTTCTCCCAGGCGGGTGGCCGTGCCTGTCTTAGTCAGGGATGGAAAGCCTTGTCACACTCTTAAAGCTCAGGACTTGGCGGCCACTTTTCAGGCCGGGATCCCCTTCTCGGCTTATAGTGCCCAGTCACTCCAACACATGCAGTATAACGCGCAGTACAGCGCCGCGGCGCCACAGTTCCCAGCACATCACTTGGTGCAAACGCAACAGTGGACTTGGTGAGAGAAATTATAGAGACTTGGCTTGGAGGCACGATAGGGAGTTCCACCACAAAGCAAAGAAAAAAAAATAAAATACAAAAAACAAAAAGACTTTTCATTTTTGCAGCTTGACTCATATATATACTACCATTTTTATTCGGGGCTCATGTGTGCGCCGTGTTTACATGTTTTCGTTAAGAGAACTGGGTCCGAACCTCTCCCTTATAGATTTTATTCAGAATGTCAATGCTCTTCTTGTGAATTTTTTTGTAAAGTATGTTGTGTGTTGGTTGTAGAGATGTTTTCCTCTTTTTCTTTTTCTTTTGTCCCTTCGTGTTATTATCAGCACGTACGATCCACTTTATAATTATAGAAATTTTAATTTCTTGCTTCTTTTATGGACCGAAAAAATATTTATGGCCATGAATAAACACTGGCAACTTTGCAGCTATTTTCCTTTTGTTTTTATTTCCTGTAAATATTTTGTGGCATATGTTTGCAAGCTCGAAGGCTTTCGGGAGCGCAAAGCTGAAGATCAGCCTTTATATTTTAGGTTACACATTTCAAAAACAACGAGGGTGTGTTTTTTTGGCAAAACCTTATGACTGCCGTGTCAGATCACATATGTAAATAACGGTGTAGCCGCGCGGAGATGGCTAAATATCCCACTTTTTTTACAAGGACTTTAAAATAAAAAGCTGTGTTTCTCAAATGAGGGTTTGGTTTATACAAGTGTCCTAATCGATGTGATCATCTCTGAAAAGACATCGCTATAGACATCACAATGGAAAGCGAGGTGCTAAACACTATATTGTGGCGCAGAAAGGAGCTTGACTCTGGGAATAAATCTCCAGCGCACTTCAGTCTTCTCCTTTTTAGGCAAATTTAATCCGGAGAATATTTTTCTCTGAATCCGCACACCTCACTAATAAAGAGCCTAAAGTCACTTGTGAAATGGGACCGAAATCCACTCACTTAATATAAGAGGGCTTCTCCACATAAGAAGCTTTTGAGTCAAAAGCTCTCCTTTTTGTCAGCATCCCCAACCACTCCCGGCCTTGGGTGCAAAGTGGTAGACTGTTTGTTGGGGGGAATCGTTTAATGCAATAAATGTTTTGTTATCTTGTTAAGCGCTAAACTGCAAATAGAGCAGGAATAATCAATGAGTCACCAGTCTCCTTTGTTTAACCGCGGCCAACTGTCAACTAAAATACGCACGGCTCAGATGGGCTTTAATCGCCTAATAAAGCGAATTTTTCATACGATCATAGAACAGGTTAGCAACGATATTCCACATTCAACTCCATGTTGCACCACACTCTTTAAAGTGGAACCAAAACGAGCACAAATGGCTCACCAGTGATCCGTGTAGCGCACTGCGGATTATCAGACTCCAGTCAATATCTTGGGTAAATATGATAACCTGGTAGAAAAATCTATGCATCATGTTTGTCCCGGGACGAAAAAAAAAAAACCCCACCCACAACAGATGTTAGAGTCGCCCCTATCATCACTGAACAAACAGCCAAATTGGGCAGATTTGCTAATTATTTACAGAATTGAGTCTCAAGGGGCTACTGCTTTTGTGAGCAACACAGACTCAATTTGTCCCCGACAGAAAGGTTTTGTGTTTCACCACTGGTTGAGCCTGTATAGGTCAAATAAATCAGATGTTTGCTTGTGGGTTTTTTGGGTTCCTGCTACATTTTGTGGGTGGACATCAAATACATAGCGTTGCTTCGAGCGTGCCAATTTCATGCCACAGTTATTGTGAAGTGTGAGGAGAAATGAGCTATGAGACGGGAATTATGAAGTGAATTGCAAAAGGTTTTGATAAAGGATTGTGTCGGTTTTTTGATTATAGGGAACTTTAGCTGATATTCAGGCTTCTTTAAAATAAAACATGGGACTAGTCTTAAATCCGACATTTAAACCCCTCACGAGTAAAAGAAAAATGCAGACTTTTGTGTGGCTCCTTGCCCTCAAGACTTTGCCCCTGTGTTGAGGCAGTTTTGTGACTCTATCATTCATAATACAGTACACGACACAACACCGAGACAAAAGCCCAGGTCTGGTTTTGCAGGATGTCAGAGGCGTGCATGTTACATTACACGCTTTTATCCAAAGCGACTTACAATTCAGATTCTATCACATTTCTACACCGTAGGCACAGCTACGGGAGCAATTTTGGGGTTAAGTGTCTTGCTCAAGGACACATCGACATGCGACTAGCAGAGCCGGAGCCGGGGATCGAACAGCCGACCCTCTGATTGAAGGACGGCCCTGCTATCCACTTAGAACAGTCTCTGCTCTCGTTGTTAACGAGAGCAGCAGCAGTGGGGCTGCTGCAGACAGTGCAGATAGAGAGACTGGCAGAGTTTCTTGGTGCTGTTCAGAGTCAGGGAGATGTATCCTTGGGCTTTTTGTCCTGCCTGTCACTTGGTGCCATTGTGATCTTTTGCTGCACACGTTGTATCCCATATGGGCAGCTGGGCTCGGACAAGGAGAAAAGGGTCTCTCACAAACCCCAAATTGTCTCAAGCTTTCAAATAAAGCATTGTTGTCTCTCAAAGAAAAACGAATTAAAAATTCGTGCTATATCTATTCTGGTAAAAAAAAGAAAAAAGAAGAAGCCCCATTCACAGATAACAGGGAGTCCTTCTTCCTTGATAGAGCTATGCCAACAACAGCCTTCTCATTTCTCTTTCCCCTCTCTCCCCCGTCCTCCAGAGTGAAAGGCTGCTTATTGTCTGTGCTAAAAAGTCGCTCCTCTTAGCGGAAAAAACTATTTTAACACCAGACAGTGTTCTTCCTTATGTGCTATGAGTCCCGCTGGTATGCGTAGGCCCTGTTTCTAAAATAGACTCCTGGAAATATATTTCACACAATTTGCCCCCATCAGATTCCTTTTTTTTTATGTCGGCTTGAGATGTAAAACTGAGCTGTTATGGACATTCTGCGCCAATTAAAGGTCGGGCATCCTTGGATTGTACTCTAAGTTGTGTATATCATAACAAGAAGATTTTCGTGGTAACAATTGCAGAAATATGCAAAAGCTAATATTGATCAATGTAAGAAGTAAATGCTGAAACTTCCATTTGCATTCTGATTTTATTGTGAATCTCATGATCTGGAAGTGATGCTGCAGAATCCAGATGTTTTTTTCCAGGGGAACACAAACCATTGGCAGGTGGACTAACGCGCCAAGATTTACGTCCGTTAGAAAGATTAGAAATTAACTCGTGAAAATAGCCCCTATATATCTTAATGTCATGTTTTATTATGCCTTTATATTTTGAGATTTCTTTTTGTATTTTATTATGCATTTTATATATTTTTTTAACAAGCCACTAAATCTAAAGCCTGTTTGTCACCAAATAGATTCAAACTGGTATTTAGTTAAACCCCCACAAACATTTTGCATCCAGCGATGCGTTATGTTGTAGCCCAAACCGAAGAAAAATAATAATAATTTAAAAAAAAACATCAGCCGTCTAAGAGCCTTCAAGATGCATTCTTACGGCGAACAATACTCGCTTTGCAGCCGTGTTTTTTTTTTGTCATTAACGCACCAGAAAATTACACCACCCCTCTACCAGCTCAGCAACAGGGTCAGATTTATCGGAAATTGCTTTTGGCTGCTTGAAGGGATAAAGCAGGCGACGTTAAAACAAGAATATTGGCGTGCAGCATAGTTCAACCTGCGTGGATAACACTATTATATACCTTGGAATACAATACTTGAGGAAATATGCACTTGGGACACCATGGATCTTCGTCATCCTGCCCATTTGAACCTCGACATGAATCACTTTTCTATCATGCACATCGCCAAATAAACGAGGATTTCAAAGCTGTAATAAGCGGTGCTTTTCATTTAAAGGAAGCTATCTGGGTTTTATTGCCTTAAAGGAGATCCAGATTAGATTCGCCACAGTGCCGATATTAAAGAGAGAGGGAGCGATGGAGGGGGCCGGGGCCGGGGAGGCAGGGGGAGGAGGCGTTGCGCCAAGCTGCCACAAGATGGAAGCAGAGGTCTTTAGTTGGCGTCATACAGCGTTTACCTGCACGTCTGACAGTCCAACTGCTTCTCATTCCAGCACAAAATGACACTACGACTGCTGAAATCAACGTGTTTTTTCTTCTTCTTCTTTTTAATGAACAGACGTCCCAGCGAACGTCACTGTGTTTTTAAGTGCGTGCTTGTGGTTTATTACATTGTTATTGATCTTAAGAGCATAATCATATCGCTCTCGAAAACAGACTAGACTCAACTTAAACAGTCCACAGGCAATGAGCACTATTTCCATCTCAAACTTAAAGACATAGAGAGGGAGAGGGAGAGAGGGAGTGAGAGAGGGAGAGTGGCTGGGTTACTCCACAGTGTGGCGCAATAGGATAGGGGGACAAATGGACTAATATGGTGCAGATTAATTCACTTCGCTGAAAGTGAACAATAGAGCAGAAGTGAGTTTTTCCAAGGAAAGTCTCAGCTCAATCTGTGTCCTTCACAACAAAGAAGACTTTGATTCAAATATCCCCAGTAACATATAAAAAACGACATTCTCTCACAGTTATTAGTTTATTAAATTTTTTTAAAGACATTATATCTAACAGAAACTGACAACAAATATCCTCTTGGAGCACCTAGTAACACAGTGAAACAGAAAATCAGTGGTGTCTGATGACCAATATTTCTAATCTAGCATCCACTCACTTCTATCATTCACATGCCTATCACGTTCTGCACGTTAGGTAGACGTACTTCCCAGGCTGCAAAGTGCCTGAGCACCATCGTCTCCTCATGCGGAGAAGAAGTTTATGCAAAGCACTGCAAAATGGGTCAAATGACAAAATAAAAGGCTCCCATCTTCATGCACCTGCTCAGTTCGGCATCAGTGAGCTTGCACCTGTAGGGGGCCTCATTGGGTTAGAAAGAGGCGCCAGCAGGGGGTGGAGGGATGCTGGACTTGATGGAAGAGGAGGGAGAAAGGAGGGAAAGAAATGTGTAAATCTGCAAGAGTTTTGGTCACTTTGATGAAGCCGGTGATGTAGAAAGAAATAATACACAGGAAAGGAACAAACAGCTTCCAACTAATCTGCCCATCAAAATTATATCCAGATATTAATATTTCAAAATCTGCTCCTGGAATTCTTCTGTTTTAATGTTTTATTTTTGCGGGAATACAGATATGGACATCTCAAATTGTCATTAAGATATCTTCAAGAGTTAAGGGGTTATTAGAGCGCACAGTGCTGTGTGAACCAGAGAGAATCCACACAGCAAATCCACAAGTTGACTCAGTGGGACAAAGCGTCTGCAGAGCATTGTTCCGATCAGCCTCCCGTCTGCGTGAGGAAAACCCGGTGAGCTGAGAGCTGACTAACACACTCCGGTTTCTGCGGGTTAAACAAGGAAGACACAGAAGAGCTGCAGCTTGATGACAGTTTTCTGCGGAGTTTAAGGAAAGAGACAAAGACCGTCCCTGAGCATCTCCGTCTTCTGTCATGTCATCTATAACATGAATACAAATCAGATTCTCTGTTGTTGTATCCAATTGGAAAGCAGAAACTAGTCATTTGTGCGGCTAATACAGAAAAAAAAACTACAATGCCTACAACATTCCGCAACAAGTCAGTTTGATTTAAATAATCAAACTGTCAAATCAAAATAAGTATTCACAATATGTAGATGGCTTATTTAATTTCTGGAATAATTAACACCTCTGTCTGCCTACAATTTGTGCCCTTGTCTGTCAGGATCCTATACAAAACATTCTCCATGTTCATTTGGCGGTAACGTTTGAATTTAATTGACAGGGACAATACACAAGTAAAGAAGAAGAAGAAGACACAAGTTAGTGGGTGCAAATTAAAGGGGAAGAATTTACTGGTAAACCTCTGATCACAAAAGTATCATACCTCATATTCTATATCTGTATGACATGCATCATTTAAAGCATTTGCACGTATCCAGCAAATACATATCAGTATTGTTTGATTTTCTCTTCTACAACTCACTCTGAGGTGGCATCCTTTTCCTACAGAGTTGTTCTTAAAACACAGTTGAGAGACAATACAGAATTCATTTTCTTAGGTTTTCATGTCTCCATATAAGGTAATTTTCACAAACTTCAAGTGTAAGTAGATGTAGAAGATTGTTGGCTCATTTCCTGTTTCCTATCAGACTGAAACTGAGGTGAAGCTAAGGCTGAGTAACGTGCTCCATTGTGACATTTTTCTGAATACTAAGATGCTATTAGTAAAATTCAGTGAAAGTATCTCACGTGGGGAAAAAAAACATTTCCATTCTCTCATCTTTGGACAAGACAAAACATGCAACAGTGTTTTGCTGTGGGAGACGCTGATAGTGCACTTCTTTAAAATTGTGCCAGCTGCAGGTCTGAGTCTAAAGCACTGCAGATGAACAGCAGTCGGTTTAGAGCCGTCTCTGTGAAAAAGCAGTGAGTGTCAAGGTTCTTGACTTTGCTGAATGTTGAGATTAGGAAAACAGCAGAGTCTGCAGAGTACACAGGGAGACTGCCACGATCTGATCAGGTAGAGTGCTCAGACAGAGCAGGCTTTTTTCTTCTTCTTACCAGGTACCTTTCTCTACCTGTCTGCTAGTATTCCACCACTGCAGCCATGTAAAAGAAATATCATGGTGGATGAAATAAAAGACTACAGAAAATCACTCTGGCTTTTTATTTTGGTCACTTTGTTCTGCGGAGTGGGTTTATAACGTATAGAAGGGTCAGAAAATTCACATTTAAGATGTACTGTACGTATCACGAGGAAACCCCTTTCATAGGTTTCATTAAACATCTAAGGTGTATTCAGTGTACATCATTCACTAATATTCTAACAGCGGATACTCTAACTATCTCCATGGGAGTCAATGACAAAGCAATGTGACAGTCAGTGTTAAAAAAAAGAGGTTGTTGAGAGCTATTAACAACAGTCTCAAGCAGGACTGTTTCACTCAGCGTCCTCCTGGTCTCACTGGTGTGCAAACTCTGGTACATTACGGAGGGGGGGGGGCATATATATAAAAACATGCATACATGACCATTAAATAGTTTTATGCCATGACCCAGCAAAGCTTGTTTCAGTGCTGCAGTCTGGAAACAAATATTTCTTCAAAAAGTAGCAGTTGAGCTGCTCTCATGCTGTCATATTAATATGTTATACATCTAAAGGGATGTTAATACCTTCCTGAAACAAGAGTTTAGTTGCAGTGTCTGCATTATGTCCCTCGTGTTATGGTTGGCTAACACACTGGCTCACAGACACTGCTGCTCATACAAAGAACTGAATTTTACACAAGGTGACTTTAAGCGAATATGGAAAACATAACGATTATAATAACAGAGCCCATGAGGTGTTCATTGCTCGGTTTGTAAAGGACTGAAACTGTCACTGACAACAGCGACTCAATGCTTATTGTTTACTGGATCAATATTGTATTTTTAGTAGATCTGCTCATTCAACTGCTTTTGTTCAAGTCGATGCTTGTGGTATTTTAGATTCAATGTCACATTTTAATGACATTGTGCAGAAAATCTAAGCAACAAACCTTCCATCCCAATTGATGTGGCCGATCAGAGATATGAATATCATTGTTCTAAATGTAAACGTTTCGCCAGTCATTCAACACATTTGTGCTGCTCAAAGAATAAGACCAGATTACATATGAAGAACATGTCATGAGCTGAATTGTAATTCTAAAATTTAACAATTTGATGATACAGATAATGTGGTTAGTTTAAAATTAATGGACGTTTGCTATTTCTTGCAGGTGAATATATACCAACAATGCATGATAATTCATACTCAAAAGCAACTCGTCTCAAAGTGCTCTGCCTCTTACATCTGTGAGCTCTTCTATTAAAAGTTCTGCTGCTGTGTTATGATCTGCAAATTGCCTTACGGTCTTATTTCCCTTTGTCTTCTCTTTCTCAATGTTCCATCTTAGGACTTGAATTGTCTTGTATAAAACCCACAGTCCGCTGCAGTCAGATGGGCTGGATGGGGGACAGCGCCTACAATCAGGTTCCCAGAGTTGAGTGTTTATGCCTTTCACTTAATGGATTGTCTCACCTTCTTCAGAGGATGAACATGCGGTGCTTGAGATGCCAGCACTGCAAATGGATCCTGGGGCTTTGAGCCTCATAACAACCGGCCATCATCTGTTTCAGACATGCTTCAATCAGCATGCGTGATGATCAAAGAGCAACAATGTGGCAGCAATGCGTTTTACCAATTCAAGTTGCCTGATTAACTTCCTGTCTAAAGAGGATGTAAAAAATGTGTAGCAAGTTGTGCCCATCATGTGTTTGTGCCCTGTGGTGAATTTATAATGTGTTTCGGAGCTAACTTCACTGAATGGAAAAAAAGAATAATAACAAATATGAGCTTCTCTGTGACATATCTGTTCTGTGGACTTGCTAGGAGCGATGCACCGTCTGACTTTGTTGTATTATGTATCACATTCAGTCTTTATGCTCTTTGTGATGCGTGAGATGGAAGCAATAACCTTCAACTTATTTGTCTTCTGCAGTCACAGATACAGTTCGTCGACCATGTTGTCATCCACACAAAGGCAATGCAGCACAAACAAACTTCCTGTCAGCCCATTGTCCTTTGCTAAGGGATGAAATCAACTCATGAGAAATACAATCAATATCCCCACAAAAGCATCCTTTTTTCACTGTCTGATCAGCTGACTAACGTAGAGAAGAAACTCAGCCGACAATTAGAATAGGTAGTATCAAATTCATGACTGCCATCGCCTGAGTACACCTGAGCGAGTATTTTTCATTGTTGCTGACTGCCAGGTCTTCCACTGCTATCACCATTGTCATATATTCATTTTTAAACCTTACATTTTTACTTTCGCAAACAATGTCAACACACAATTGTTTATTTTCTATTTAATATCAAGTATTTCTTTGTACTGTGCTTTTTGTATTTCTACAATGTATTTATTATCATTTTGAATGATGTAAATGACTTTTTAACTTTCCTGTACAGCACGTTGTTCAAAGTTTGCTGCTTTAAAATGTACAAATTGACTCGACGATGTTCAATAAAATAAATGCCACCTTACAATAATTTTATAATTTTTTCATCACAACTTGATGAAGTATTTATTACAAATATTGAATACAACATATTTAGATTTAACATTATGTAATGCAAATAACATCATTTGGGGTGTAAAAATACACACATATTTATATATATATTCTGTATAGTAAACTGTATATTTCCACAGGTACTGTACTTCCTAATTTTGTGAGACTTCAAGGGGAAATGCTGCACTCCTCATTCTGCTTCATTCATGTGTTCATGTGACAGCAGTTGTTAAGTTACTTGGAATAAGATATAACATACAAAACACACGATGCATTGCTGTAGTTCAAACCACACAGCAGTATATGTAGAATAAGCCTGCAGCATTAAAACCAGCTCACATACTTACTCAGTAATACACTCTGGAATTTAATTCAAAATGAATGCCCTTACCTGTGACCGCAAATCCCCCCCCCCCAAATGTATTCCTTATATGAAGTAATTTAACATTGTGGTATTAGTTCCTCTACACATGATATATATATGATAACTCATTATTTATTCTTTTGATTTACCTGAGATGCACAAACATCAAAAACAAACAAGTCAAGTTTAATACTTCAAATCAGTACACATGTGATGCCAGGATGAAGAATATTGGAGTTCCAGAGAAAGTAACTGATGGAAACATAGATACCTTTATAATGTAAGTTATTTACTTTAGGAAATGAAGAACAGTGGTTAGTGAAGCAGTTGGATTGAATGCATTACATATAAGTACACAATCCCCAATGTCAAACCTGTTCTGTAAATAAAAAAGGCATACTACTGGCAAAGCACAGTTATTTCAGGACTTTTATTTTGAAGCACACAAAAGAACTGGGCCAGCCATCTCACAGAAGTGCATCTGTGAGCAGTTCAAATCCCCGGATGAGCTGGAAGCACCTGGGAATGAAATACTTAGAGGAGTCCCCTCCCTCTCCAAATGCCACTGAGTTGCTCTTGAGCAAGGCACTTCACCCTCCACTGCTTACTGTCCAGCAGCAGGGCACTGGGCCTTTACTGTGTGTGTTACCTCTCCACTGTACGGACGTGAACCAGATCTCTGCTGAGACACTACAGCCATGTTCAGACAACCTAACATGAATGAATAATGTTCAAAAAATAGTTTAAAAAGTGAATTGACAACCTTATTTTTCAACCTACAACCTTCAACCCTACAGTGATTTCTATATTACACACTAGAAAAGGTGTGTATATTAGAACCTTATAAATATATATTAAAGGATAGGTTCACAACTTTTCAAGTCTGCCTTAGAACAGTAGTCAGGTGTCCATGTGGACATTAAAAACGGTTTTGCTTGCTGTGATCATTCCTCCTGTTCATACCGGCCACTCTCCTAATGCGCTTTCTATAGAAGTGATGGGGGACAACATCAAAAGACCTCTTTTTGTGGAAAAAAAAAGGGTATTCCACAATGTATCTAAAGCTTACAATATGCAGAGTACATCATTTTCACATGTGTTGTTTATTCCTTTATTATCTGGATCATTCACACAGTTTAAACTGCGTGTGAAACACAGTCACTCGAAGTGCGTTTTGTTGAAGTTCAAGAAAAAAGTGTGTCCATCAGTATTGTCATGAATGATGATAGATGGAATATTTGGTTTGGTTCGACAGACTCTTTGCGTTATCAGCATCGTTGTTGGGTTGTTCTAGCAGCGACTCCTGCTTTCAGGTAAAAGGACAGCCATCACTAATGTTTACAATGGCAGTGACAGCGAGCCAGCAAGCCCAATAGCAGGACCCTGAAACTGAAGCAGCTAAATGGAACTCAGCCATCCATTCATTTTATTAATGGCCCCTGTGCATTTCCTACTGTGACACCTCGGACTTGTTTAGTACAGTAAAGCATGAAAAATACAAAAGGAACTTCTTTTTTTTTTTAATAACGTGCTATGTGTCAAATTAAATGTGCTTGGACATTGCTGCAAAATAGCATTCACTGCAAACATCAACAAATCAAATACAAGCTGTGAGCGGTGGCAGGCGGCTGAAGGGTGTTTTGTGTGTTTTCCCTTTGACTGAGCAGCAGTCGTCCGAGTGGAGGAATCATGTTCTGGCTCCTGCACACATGGCTGGACGGAGGAACAGTCCGCAGCGTTTTAGCACACAATTTCACGATGGTTTCAGAGAAGAGGCCAGCCAAGCATTTCAAGTGCCGGTGCAGCGAGAGGGCAGCATTGTGGAGAAGAGTAGGTAGTGTAATGATCAGGTAGACAAGATGACATCAAGCGTCCTCAGGGATGGCCGGGCACAGAGAGCTGACATCCTTCCAGAGAGAAAGAACCACTGGAACACGACGAGACAAAACCAACAAACAAGAGAGCCATTAGCCCCAGGCTGGCTTGTTATTACTGTACAGCAGCAGAAAGTCAGACAAAGGGATTTAAACGGAAATTATGGAACATGTCGCCCTGTGTTGGATTTCATTGTAAGCTTTTGCATTTCTCAGCATTATTCAGCAACAACAGAACAAACTCATTAGGAATATTGTGGTTTTTTACACACCTTTGGCTGACAATGATGGACGCTAACATTTACATTTCAAATACACTTCCTTCAACTCCCAACAAACAGTGGAATTATGGGACTGCAGGATGTGTAAAAGTGCATAAGCCATATCATAAAATACCTTCTAATGAAATGCAAATATATCATCATAGTTCAGATGAGAAATCCTAAATATGTGACTATATTTTAATACTTAAGAGACAAAGCTGTGTGGTTTCACCTTTGGAGCTCGACTATTACAATAGTTGCAAATGATTTATTTAAGAATTTGTCAAAACTGAATTTGTGTGCTTCTAAAATAAATATATTTATTAATACTTTTTTTACAACATGATAATAAATATGCGAGTAGAGTTCAAACTGTATGATAATTCTTGTATTTTGACAATATTTTATGGTCTTATATTGAGACATGAAAATACCGGCCTTAAAGAATAAAACAGGAACTTGTACACAATGTTCATGAAGTAGGCAGTGAAGACATGTCATGTCAATATGTTGACTAAAATGAATAACAAGTTAGACAATTTACTCAACACTAACATCAACATTAAATGTGGGCTTTTTAAAACTAAATCATGTGATTTACTTACCATATTATTCTGCCCTTGCTTTTACAAGTTCAGGATCTATTTTATTGAAATCTGCACCAGGTGTTACTGTCATTTACAGACGTGTGAGCTCATAGTCTGTTGTGTTAAGGGACTCACAAATAAAAAGAAATGGTTGGAAGCGTATAATGTCACCTTACAGGTATTCATTTTAAAACACCTTTCGCCCTGATGCATTGTTATAATTGTATAAACGGTAATATACATGGTTTTATTTTTTTTCCCAATAAAAATATAAAGTGATGCACATGACAAATTGAAGAACTAGCTTCACAACTAATTTGTGTGAAATGGCATTTTCCATTTCAATGTCACCTTTTTAATGTTCTCACTAACAACTAAAATTCAATCTGCCACAAGTACCAGCTCTCCCCTTGGTTTAAAAAGCCTCCTGTGTCTCAGGACAGTGTGCTTCTGGTCACACATTTCACTCTGATGCCCATGTTCTTCATCGCAGTATTCCAAGAAAAGCAAACGCTACATACATGTGTTGTTGCTGCTGTTATTATTGGGGCTATGGACATTAATGACTTTGACCTCTTTTATCTTGATGTAGTTCCTCTGATGGCCACTAAAGAAATACTGGAAGAATTTAGCAGGGCATTGCTCACATATTATGTGAATAATTTTCTAAGTGTGGATGTTAATATTAGAGGAGGCAGCACGAGCTGAATAGGCTACATATCAGCTTAATATTTTGACTTTAAAATGAACATTTTACACAAGATGATTGCTTTAGCTGTGCCATTACATCAACAGCTAATATAAGGAATATGCGGTAGTGTTTTCTAACTTTATCTTGGAGGTAAATTCACATAGTTTCCATTATAATATGGCTCTTTAAAATAACGTAATACCTACAGGCTGTTATGTGAACTTCTATCAAGTTCTTGGACAGAAAGATTTCTGGTTTAATCCTGTTCAGCTTGTCAAAGTCCACATAAGCACACATGACCTTGAGCAAGGCATTCAAAATAATGTCCCACTTTTATGATAATCTTTTTATTTTTTTGCTGAAAGTAGAATCACTGTCAACAACCGATTAAAGACACATTAAAGCAATTTTTTTTTAATACAAATAGTCAGTATGTAAAAGTATGCAGTTGATGAACAGTACCTACAGTTAGCAAAATAAAATGAGAAATCATATAAAGTATAACGTATAAACCGTCTTATTTGAATGATAACAACAAGAATTGTTCATATCGTTCAAATGTTTTTTTTAATTTTTGACAGGGTCAAATATAAATCCACACTATACAAGAGAGAGATTCATTTAAAAAAAATATGAATTGAGCAAACAAATAAATATCTATTTGTAGAGAATATTCAGATGAATTTGTATGTACAGTTCAGTGGTGATTATATGCACACATTAAGAATATGATGTTGAACTAATTTACAATATACCAATAATATATATTTTTGATGTATAATCCCATTGTGTTTTCATAGTCCTGGAGATAGTCTTTTACTGGCACTCCCATGCAGCAGTTAATTCATTGTTCATTTTCTGAAAAGAAAACGAGCAGAAATGAACATTTTAATCTTTTCACGCAGCTCAGTAAAAATGGGCTTCGACTTTATATTCTAAATTGCAGCACGTGGTGAGTGCTCGTATCTGTGAGGATCAATACATTCAGAATTTGAAGTAGTTTTTGTGATGTGTTTATGTGGATTCATCTAAATAATGGTAGGCTACCAGGTGGCCTACTAGATAAAAGCATCCCAAAGTGGGGATAAACATGCACATTTCCATTGTTGAGTTGTGAGGCCATTTAAAAAGTTTCCGTCTCCACATACAGCACTCAAAGTGCTTTGAAACTTTTGATCAGAAG